AAGAAAGAAAGAAAGAAAGAAAGAAAGAAAGAAAGAAAGAAAGAAAGAAAGAAAGAAAGAAATAGATTTGGAGGGGGGGAAGAGAGGGAGAAATAGATTTGTAGAAATGTAAACATGTCAAGTAAAATTCAGCAAAAGAGATTTTATTGGAGAGAATTACAACTAATTGGGTTATTTAAAATTACTTTAGGGTTTCTTTGTTTTTGAAACTTAAATATAGCATCTAGTTTACACATAGACACCAATGTATTTATATGCACCAGTGTCCGTAAGAACGTCTTTTGTCATCAGCTTGTTACTGTATCCAATATAGCTTTTCCATATCATCATCTTTATCAGATTGCATTAATTAATATGATTTGAAAGTAACAAGCAATCTTACTAATTTACTGTCTGATAAATAGCTATTTTGTAAGCAGTCATCACCCGACTGCTATTGTTAAATGATTAGGCAAGCTTGCCCTTGGCATCCATTTTGTAAATATCTGTTACATGCTCTCAAAATTTCATCTATGCTTCCCAGTACTAAAATGACTAAAGTCAGTTTCAGGTTGAACTTGGCTCTTAGTGTCACATAACTTGATTCTTACACATTCACATTCATATGGTTCTCTTGGCAGTAATGCTAAACTAATTTATTCACTGCTTTTTCCAAGAAGCTACGGTCATCTCACCCTTTATGATTTACTGCATCATCTTCAAGTGTCCAACTAACATTCCATCACCATTCTGAGGACATATTTATATATTGGCTGGATAATGCTATAAGATGTAATGTTACAATCGAGGATGTTACATACCTACACTTCTGGACCTTTCATATGGGCCCTCATCCATGTCCTAACCCAGTTTTCTTAGTTGCTTAGTTTTCTACATAAGACAAGCTTGGCTAAGTGCTTTCTATTCCATAGCAGTTTTTTTCCCCAACCTGGTGCTGTCCAAATGAGTTGGAATTATGATTTCCAGAATTCTCAGTGTCTACATGGGATAGCAATTCTTGGAATTGCTAACACATTTGTGGGCACCAAGCTCACAGAACTGCAGTGTAGAACTCAGTTACCACAAGAATCACTGAGGAGAATTGCTCCATTTCAAACTTCCCAAGATTTTTTTTTTTTGTTTAATTTTTCTCAGTTA